TCATGATATACAAATGTACTAATTCTTTTCCTATTTTGATATTATTAATAAATATAAAAAAAAAAAAAAAAAAAAAATATGTTAATATTTTTATATACTCAAAACAGATTAAGACATTTTGATATATATACCTTACTCTTGAAACTCTTATTTATAGCAATATCTAGAAGTTGTAATTTACTAGTCAATCCTCCTAAAATGATTACAGAGTAAGTATTATTTTCTTTAAATTGATATTTAACAGAATCTATTATATAACTCCTAAAAGAGTTCAAAATGAGAAGTAATTGTAGCAGTCTTACTAGTTCACTATATTTATATCAAATATTATTAATTCAAAAATATATAATATTTTCATTATACTATCTTTTTTTATTTACTCTTATAATAGTACTCTGGAGAAACACATCATAAGAGAAGTTCTTTAGCTTAAAAATATATATAGATAAAAGCTTTATGCTATTAGCAAGATACTCAAGGATTACAGTAAAATTTGTTCTTTCATGTCTAGTAGTTCTAATTTTTACAGTCTTAAATTCATGTTTTTTAATAGTTATAAAGCTAGACATATTGAATAACAAAAAAATTTTGTTTATATTTCTAATATATCTAAAAAAAAAGTTATATTTATGATATTTAAACAAAATGAAACTTAAAAATTTACTCTGTTTTTCCTCAAAATTAAATGAGAAGTACTGAAAAACTATTGTATATCTCTAGTTAGAAAAATTATAGTTATATAAGAACTGGCTCAACTAACTTTAAAATTGTTAATCTCAGAGTAGATATTTTTAATTTTATTAGTTTAAGCTAATGTTTTAGTCTTTCTTACAAGTATAGTTTAAGTAATAGTATACTGCTTATTGCAATATTCATTCACCTATTCAAAAAGCTTTTCTTCTAACAATAAAAACTAGATCTGATAACTATAGTTAAGCATTAAGATATACGATATAATATTTATAAGTTCTTGTTTTTTATTGAACTATTCATGAACTTGTTTTGGTTCAATTTTAAATTATCTTGCAATTGCTCTTATATTTTAAATATTCTTATAATAACTGACAACTATGGGTTTTTCCTTAACACTCTATAAATGACAGCTTTTATTAGTAATACAGATACTTTTCTTGTTATTATTTCTTGGTGGTGATATTTAGTATTGAAAAAGTTTGTATACATATATAGTAAATATGTAAATTTTTTTTTTAATGTTATTTTTTTTAAATTTTTTTTTTTTAATTTTTTTTTTTTTAAAAAAAAAAAACTGATATTGATGAGATCACTACATATTATATAGGTTACTGAATCTATGAGGTCACATTTGAAGTTAGAAAAGTTAAAGTAATTTTTTTTAATTTTTTTTTTTCTTTTTTAAAAAAAAAAACTGATATTAATGAAAAACTACTACACATTATATGAATTAGGAAAATTAAAGTATTTTTTTAAATTTTTTTTTTTTCTTTTTTAAAAAAAAAACTGATATAATAGAGAACTGCTATACATTATATGAGTTAAAAAAAGTCAAGATATTTTTTTTCATTTTTTTTTTTTTTTTAAAAAAAAAAATTAATATTGATAGAAGATACTACACATTATACAAGTTACTGAATCTACAAAATTATATTCAAAGTTAGGAAAGTCAAAGTATTTTTTTTCAATTTTTTTTTTCTTTTTTTAAAAAAAAAAACTGATATTGATGAGAAACCACTACATATTATACAAATTACTGAAGTTAGAAAAGTCAAGACATGAATGATACAAAAAAACAAGATGCAACTAATAATATGTGCAAGCAATGCTTAAAATACAATTAGATTTTAAAGTAATTTCAAATTTGTGATTATTTCAAATTTGTGATTATTTAAATAATTAAGTTAAATAAAATTTGAATCAATTATAATTATTGTGAATAAAAGTGATTTTTTGATCAGAAATTTTAAGTCCAATAATAAATTGCTTATTAATTGCTTAAGAATTTTATAAATTTGTACCTAATTGTAATCTGATACTTATAAATTTTAATATGTATTACTAATAGTAACCTAATTACTTAAAGTACTTGCCTGTTATAAAATGTTACTTCATGTTGAATGTCGAAGTAAATCCAACTACTGGTATCTTTCTAAAGTTTGCTGCCAAAGTTTATTTTGTAGTTTGTTTGTTTCTTTAAATTTTGAATATATTAAATAATTAAATATTTCCATGCTTCTTGCAATTGAATTCCAAAAATCCAATTTGTATTAATTATAAAAATTATAAAAAGTTACTGTATATGCTATGAAACGTTGCACCATGTACGTACGAATGCTGACATAACTTAATAAATTTCAGATATCAAAAACAAATGAATGCTTCTCTTATTTAAAAATGAATGCAATTAAAAACGCCTTTCGCAGAAAAAAAGACGAATGCAAACGAGCTATACAAACTAGGAGAAAAATATTATTACGAAACTAGTGTCGAAAAAAATGAACGTGAGGCATTCGTCTATTAACCTGATATAACTTGATCACCTTGCTATCACTTATCACTGTGTTTCAACTGGATATTTTCGCACATATGTACAATTTCTTGCGTAATATGATCACGTTGACCAATCAGTATTAGAGTTTATGAGTTTATTGGGATCTTAAAAAAACGAACTGACATATAGACCAATATACTCCCCCTATATGAGTACTCGGGTATATCACATGAGCGTAGGAAATATCCTGGGTATACATGTCGGAGGAATACGGTAATTTGTTTTTTTTCATAGGACTTTGGTCCCGGATCAAAATCCCTGTATAAATCCTGGGGATTTTGGAATCTGCCGCTATATTAAGAAGGAAGTTTAGTATTATCAAAGACAAGGTTATATTTTTTGACCAAAAAAGTTTTTCGATTGAGTAATCAGGGTATAGCGATGCGATAGCTAGGGATGGATCGGTCCTAGGCAGATTCCGCTAATTAAACTACATATTATACGAATTTAAAATAACAAACTTTCACCAAATTGAGACCGTTTCTTAGTTAATATATATTATCGGAATTAATAATATTAGTTGATTCATTAAATGGTTTTTTTAGAAGGTTCAGTAGTTATATTTTGATCGTAATTCAGGCTAGAAAAAAAAAGTGCGAGTTGGTTTATAAAATGTAGAAATTAAAAAAATATATAAGCAATAGTATAAATTAAATTACATCAATAGTAGAATCTTATAACTTTTGAGTTAAATTCGTCAAGGCTTGATGTTGTTTTATTATTACATTATTAAAAGCAGGAAGTGCAATATCAGATATACGATAACGATTAAGTAATGATTAAGTTGTTTCTAAATTTTGATTTAACTAGATCATTTTTTTGCAAGTTTTAAAGCAGGTTTAAATCCGGGTTCTTTAAAAATTAAATATTTAATACGTAATAGCGATAGTAAAGCTTAACAATTAAAAAAATATTACGTAGTATTTAAATATTAAAAAAGAAATTTCTAACCATATTTTGATCTTTATTAAAGATACTTTACCAACTACTCAGGATATAACTAAAGATTTTAAATACTATCTGCATATACTGTATAACAAAAATCTTGCAATTTTAAATATTATTAATAAAAATAGGATATAAATACAAAAATACAATGCTTCAACACACCTTTATAATAGATAATTAATTAAAATATTTTATTTCGAAGGTTATTAACATACAAATATACAAATATTAGATAAACTTTCTACATGAAAAGTAATATAAACACTAAAATTCTAAAAAAAGATATGAATTGAATATATAATAATGATGTGAATATGAATTAAAGTATAAATTATGAAAAAAGAAATTAACAAATTATTACATATGTTAAAGTTATCTACATAGTACACTATAACTTTCCTAAACTGTAGACTTAGACAAATGCATTAAATAGTCTATATAAGTCAAAATTTACGGATAAACTAATCTATAAATCATTCAAACAATTCTAGGAGGTGGCTCATAGCGTAAATATAGTTCCTCCTTGAAATGACGATGTCTAAATGTAATATTAATATTAATAAATATTTAAAAATTTTAGGTGTAATACTTTGAAACAAAAAGGTGTCACATACTTGATACCACTCGGCTGTCTTGCCTCTTGAAAATAGTTAATCGCATCATTTACTGAGATGTGCAATTCTTCGATCATGTAACAACAGATCATAAACCCTGTACGATTAAACCTAAAATCGAATATAATCTCGAGATAAATAATCGATTGTATACATACAATAGGATTACTTTAGAAAATAAACAAGTTTAAGCTTACCCATAATGACAATGAACAGCTATTTGTTTATCAGGCTTTTTTCTCCACGCTTCATTGGCAATTTGAATAAACATCCGTACTTCTTCACGTGATGGTGGGATTTTACTTGCAGTACTGAGTTTATTATATGTAATATGCGAATTATCAAAATCGCATGTTTTATAAGGCGGTGGGTCTTTGGTTATATCAATGATACTATATAATTAACATAAAAAAAATTATGAGCAAGTAAGGTAACATAAAAAATATGCACATGGGAAATTAACTTACAATCCTACTTCTGGATGTCGCGCAATAAATATTTCTGGAGAATGTTCTTCATCATTCTGCCGCATAACCTTGAAGAAATAATAATTATTAGAAAAATTACATACATGATGACAAGGGCAATATATTTAAATATAAAAGACAAACCTTCATTGGTCTAAATAATGTATTATTGACAGTTCGGTCAGCTATCGTTGGAGTTCGTTTCCACTATAATTAAATAACACATGAGTGCGACGAGAGTTTTGGTCACGAGATTATCTTAAAATTTATAAAACAATATTTGATGACGAAAAAAAAAAAAATTAAAACTGAAAAGAATTCACGCGTCGAACCAAAATTCCATCATTGGAAAAAACAAGGAATACAATGGATTACGGAACCAACGCAGCTGACAGCATGAATTTATTTTTCAGCTGCACACCTTTTGATAGTTCTTCATAGACCACTTGTTCTCATCTTTCGTTTTATAAACGATTTGCCATGCAGGGTCAACTGTATCCAATCCACACACTTTTATAAGAAAATGGTTGATTATCAAATTGACCAGATCAGGTTTCTCCACCATTGGATGATGTCCTGCCTGCGGAATCACCACCGGAGCAGGTGTATTTGGCGACGTACACCATTCATGAACAAGGACCATATCACTTTGAGGACTAATTCGATCCTAAATAAATAAATAAAAATTCTATAAATATATATATATACTTTATGTGTATATGACAGTTATAGATTTAACTACCTCTTGACCTGATATGAGTAATAATGGACATTGAATCTCGCGAATATCATCACAAGTTATCCATTTCAAACCACTAAGCATTCGTTTCCACACAAATGTCCTTGATTGTTTATTCCACTGTAACTGTTTTGTTCGCAATCCAACACTCGCATCTTTATGTAACATACGATTGACACTTTTAGAGTTGATTCCACCGCGACGATCAAACATAACGCGGAAAATATCAAAAAAAATATCAGGGCAGGACTGAATAGTTTTTCGTTGCGATAATTCTTTTTCACTTATTTCGGCTTTAACCGAAATGAATGTCATAGATTTGACGGTATTTTTGAATCGCTGGTACAAAAACGCACCTAGACAACAACCGTACGAATGACAAATGAATGCCAAAGTTTCACTAGGATAACGTTTCAAAAGTTCTTCAAGATCATCGACCAAAGATTCAGTTTTGTAATCATCAAATCTTTTATATACAACATATGATTATCACCATAAATTATTATATTATTATAAGAACCAATATCGCTAATTTTGTAATTTACCTTTTTGAAATATCACTCTTTCCACATCCTAACAAGTCCACAGCCAGTACATTGGCAGTGGATGAAAAATATTCTAATTGATATTCCCACTGTGAAACCTTTATTCGCCAAAACCCGTCATTTATTATAATTATCATTACAAAAAATTCTATAATTGGCAGATAAAAAAATATATAAAAGAATGATATAAACTCTAACCTGACCACCAAGCCCATGTATAAGTACTATTAAAGGTACTATCGGTCCAAGTTGATGAGCAATATGAACAATTCGATATCGTTTATTTCTGATAATTACATATTCTGTATTCTTCTGAATGACTGACGGCTCTTCTATTTTGCATAATATATATATATATATTCCATACAGAATAACCAATTTAGTTTTTTAAAACAATCAATAAGAATACAAATATTCGAAACCCTGTATAACATACCGTCTAAAACTTTGGTTTTCAAAAGGTATGGTGTCAAAAACAAGCCGCACATCGTAATAATAATCGGAATGATTATTGTCAAGGACTGAACGGGTATGCTGGAAGGCAAAAGCGCTGGCCAAAATGTTAGCCAATAGTTAACAACAGTAACTGAATGCATTTATTCAAAAGACCACGCGCCCCCTGGCGTATATGATTTTAATTTTATTAATTCTGTTTCGTTAGCAAAATGTTTTTAAAATTAGAAGAACTCTATAACTTTTATATTAATTGAGAAGAAAGAAAGACAAGGTTAATTTATATTTTAATTTAAAATTCTGTCTCTAGAAATAGCAGAAATAAGTTTGGAAAATCCCAATAAATTATACACCTGTGTGAAATTCATCGTTTTATAGGTTCCCAAGATAGTCGTGTGGTGAATTCTAATTAATGATTGGCTAGTGTCTTTCCACAAAAGGAAAATGACATTTAATGATCCAGTTTTGTAATTTAACGCACTGGCCCAATCGATCGACAACAAAAAAAAAAAAAAAAGATATCGATATCGCGTTAAGAATAGATTACTCTTCATGAATTTTAAATTTTACACATTGCGACAATGACAGATTCTAATCTTTATACTACGGCAAGTCCGCCTGATAAAGCTATAAATCCTTTTGACGCTATAGTACAGGCACGACCAGTAGCATATGCAGGAAACGATCCCACTACTGAATTCTTCTGTACGTTAAGAGGATAAATTATCTAAATTATCTTCGAAATAGTAAATATTTATTCTCAATTTTTCATTTTTTTTGTATTCTTTATTTACTTTAATAGACCGCCCAAGGACTTTGACAGTACTAGCCGCCATGTTGTTCGGTTTAGTGTATGTTGCAATGTATCCAGAAGCCGATGATACAGCAACAAATATTAAATTGTATGTACGGTGAAGTGCAGGATTTTTATTGGCGCATTCAGTGATAGGAAAGGTACAGATACTCTAAAGTTTTTACTTATAGTGGAACTTGGGCAGGAATTTCTTCTTTCCTTCTTTTTGCGATGCTACAATTCCGAGATGGACCATTTATTCGACCGCATCCTGCATTCTGGCGTGTAGTTTTAGGTCTCGGTGTTCTATATCAAATGTTTCTTGTATTTCTTTTATTTCAGGTATAATTAACTTATTTTCACGTCAATAATTTATAATTTATGCTAAATTAATAATAAAAATCTAATTCATGTTAATCATTTAGAATAAACGCGATGCACGATATATTTTTTCATGTATTGATCCATCTTTAGGAATTCCGCTACCAGAACGTTCGTATGCTGAAAATTGTGAGTTGAATTATGAAAATGTTAAGGCATGTTGTTTCATGCAGTATAATAAATTTATATGAATCATGTTCGAATTTGTTAAACTAATAATACGCATTTATACTAGAATCAACTTGATATATTTGTTATATATCATATTGTTGGATGGTATGCAAAAGCAGTAGTTCTTCGAGATTATTGGTTTTGTTGGATTTTATCAGTAATGTTTGAAGTGATGGAATATTCATTACAACATCAATTAAATAATTTTGCCGAATGTTGGTGGGATCACGCAAGTATTTACCAAATATTTAGCAATGATTAAAAAAACAAATATATATATATATTTATGAAATTTAAAATATTTCCATAGTGGATTCTCGATGTTCTTATATGTAATTGGGCCGGCCTTTATTTTGGTATGAAGACTTGTGAATATTTTCAGATGAAAAATTATTCGTGGAGAGGAATAAAACAAATTAGTTCTCTAAAGGGAAAAGTAAAGCGCACTGTTCAACAATTTACGCCACGTGAATGGACCAGCTTTGAATGGGGAACGACAAAAAGTTTTAAAAATTATATTGCAGTTATTGGACTTTTATTTGCAGTGAGCTTCATTATTACTATAATTTGTTATACACGTATATGATTACTTATATTAATATGATTATTCATAATTGTCAGTTTTTGCAAGTGGAGTTAAATTCCTTTTATTTGAAATATCTGTTATGGATACCACCGGATAATCCAATCAATACATATCGCGCAACTTTACTTTTCATGTGTTCTATTCCTGCTACACGCGAAGCATATCAATATCTTACGGACAAGTAAGATTTATTCTATCTTATTATGTCATTCTTGTTCTAGCATTTATTAACAGAACTCTTTAATATAATTCCTTATATATTAGGGAATGCAAAAGATTTGGACCACAAGCCTGGCTAACAATAGCAACTATAATGACCGAATCCGTAATATGTTTTAAACTTGGCCGAGGAGAATTTCCAAATCCTGTGCCTACATATGTAGTAATATTTTGGATAATATTAGTTAATTTATTGATTGGATACGCTATTTGGCAATTTGGGATACCCTATTTGAAGGAACGAATGGAATCATCGACGAAAGAACAAACGGAAATATCTGAGTCGCCTTCTGACGAGAGGCTACTAAAGGACAAGAAAATGTGATTTTTTGTATTCGATAAAGTATAATTTACAAATTCGTGAGCACGTGATTTAGAGCGTCTAGATACGTGATCTTATTACGCTCTAAGTGTGTTGGATCTGATAAAGTAAGATATTGTGAAATTTGCAATATTTACAATGGCGTGAATAAATTGGGTCCAAATATGGTTTCAAGTCAAAATAATATCATGCTTTGTTTATTATGGGCTTAAATAATTCTTTTTTTTTTATAACAATTAAAAATATTTTTTCTTTTAAAAACTTATATTTTGGTTTTTCATTGATTTAAAAAAGAAACTTAAAAATTGAAAATTTTTAATTACCCAACTTTAATTGCCAATATCTCCATAGATATTTCGATTTTTAATTATTCAACTCAAACTGTCATGGATCATTGAAGGCAACCTTGTACGTACATACTAATTTTACAAATGAAATCGTGATTGTTTGACTTATTGTTACACCTAATATTTTGATTGGACATTAATGATGTAATTATAAAAGCACTTTTTTTCTTCGGAACAATGAAATTCTAAATAAGATTCAGGTTCGTTAATCATAAACTGTAAAAGGAATTTTTTATATGAAATCAGCCGTTTTCGATTGTTTACCGATAACCGTTTTCGATTCATGCCATCAATGCAAAGAATATTATTCGCACTCAAATGTTCGTACTTAGGAATATTACTTATACTGATTAAAGAATTATTTTGATGATAACGATAACGATAACTATTGATTGTTAACGTTAAATTCTACTTGTATTAATAATTTCTATTTCGTTAAAACGCCAGTCAAAAAAATCATCTTTCACGAAAATTTCACGCTCACGTGATTATATGGCGTATCAGTATCCAGGTATCAGGGACCTAAAAAAATTTGTTAAAACAGCTCGAGTAACACGTAAACGATTTTATTGCAATTAATTAAAATAGTATATATCTGTAAGATAACTACAGTACATAAACACTTAATAAAACGCACTTTGGCGTTTTACACTTATCGTTATTTATTCAATATCTCAAAAATTAGCAAATCAATTAGTAAGAGGTGGCTTGAGTAAAAATGTTATACGCCCCCAAAAACCCTTCCCTAACATCTTAAGCCCTAAAGTAAAAATATTTCGGTTAAAAATTTTGTATGCAAAAACTTATAATATAATAAAAACCATTATGGCGCATTTGAGTGTTTTTAAGTATTGACTAGACTATAAAGTGCGTCATTTGCTATTTTTTGTTTGACATTGTTTATTGTAAAGTCATATAAGATAACGTCTAATTCATCTTCTCATTCGAAGATGGGTTAGACATTATCTATATAACTTTACAATAAGAAAATGTCAAAAAATAGTAAATGACGCACTTTATAATCTACGTATCATCAATAAAAATCTCAATTTCGGTTAGATTTTCTCTAAGCATGGTTTTGTTGTGTACCAACCCACATATTTAAAAATAATTTATTACATTCGAATTCAATAACTCATTACTGCATTATATTCAAATTCAAAGATTTAGTGTATTTTATTAAAAGCTATTTACAAGATTATTTCAAATAAAAGCTATAGAAAAGTTGAATTGCCTTTCAAGTTCAGGTATTCACAACATTATTTTTTTTTTTTATTTGCCTCTTAATAAATTTATTCGATTATAATCACAAATAGGAGGATAGGTTCTGGGACCGGGTCTTCACCCTTATTTTGCTTTAATATACCGACACCATATTTCATAACACTTTTTTTGATTAAATGATTTTCATATATTTGCTTTGTAGAATACAAACTAGTATTTTTCTTTCGTTCATCTTTTAATTTACTGTAAAAATTTTTTTATTTCGTTAAATATTTTTCAAATCATACGTTTCGATCTGAGTACCTTATTGCTTGTTGTCCCTTTAGTTAAACGAAAAAAAAAGTATAAACACAAAATCAATCACCATACTTAATGCAGAGAAAGTCTTCAGGTTTCGTCTTCGTTATTACGTATGAAGGAATGATAAACTCGCTTTCCGTTTAACCTCAAATCCTCCGATTTCTTTTTCTAAAAAAAAAAAAAAAAAAAAAAAAATTGAGTACATCGTATGCATCACCGTACCCTCCTATTACCAAAGACAACCTTCTTATATGTGATGATAAATTTGGTTATTAACTGCTTCGGAGTGCGTTGTGTCTACATGGAGGGCTTATTTCCACAGCGTAACTTTCACACAACGTCCATACTAGATATATAAAATGTCATATCATCGTATACCCTCCTAGGCAGTCCTTAATATAACCTTATCATCCTAAACTACTTTGTTGTATCAGTTTCAGAGCGCTGTGTCTACACGGTATCATCACTATACCGCAGCGTAACTTACACACACGCGCGTACTCAACATAAATACCCAGTAAAATAATTTACCTTTTATCACAAGTAAAATCGATTAGGTCGTGAATGTAACAGTTAAAAGCCTAAAAGAAATATAAAAAAAGAAAAGAGCTAGTAAGAGTTAAAAGGTTATTTAAAATATTAATAATATGAAAGCAGAATAAATTCTAAATAGAACTTTAAATTCCGTAGCGCCGAAATGAACTAGTAGGATCGAAAGTTCTTAAGCAAAAGTAAATAAAAGTTTTTAGCAAGAATAAAAAAAAAAAAACGTTTTCTCAAAAAAAAAAAAAAATTCATATAGGTTTTTTATTGAGAACAAATGACGTAACGTGAGAATCAAAATTTTTTGATTTCTTCATAAAAATCCATTCCAATAAAATCTGTGTTATATCATAATTACGACATTTTTTTAAGAATATCAATTATACGTACGTAGTACAATCTTAACGATTAACTTATATTTATCAGTATCGGTATAATGCGCGGATGATCCTCGATTTTGGTTGGCTAAGAGCGACGATCAAAACTTTTGGCCGGAATTACTCAAAATTTTACTAATGAAATCACAGCCGCCCATTAAGTGAAAATTGTTCCTTGGCTGATTTTAGCGTAGCGCGGGCCTATTTCTTTGAAAATTTTTATTTTTAGAATGAAAAAGTTAAAAAGTTAATTCTGGCCAGAAATAAGTAAACAATTATGTAATGCGAGCCAAAATTTTGCAGATCTACGGCCGTTAGCCAATCAAAATCGAGGATCATCCGCGCATTTTTTGTGCGGCACCTAGGTTCAATATAACAAAACTCCGTTTGTTAAGGCATGTACCTACGTGACTTTTGCCATTTACAGCTGTTTTCATAAATTCTGTCCAAACAAATATTGCCGGTTCGATAAGTTTGTGATTCAGCAGTGATAAACTTTTGATTTGGATGTGATTACAGTAATTCACATTCAAATCAGAAGTTTATCACTACTGAATCACAAACTTATCGAACCGGCAATATTTGTTCAGACCATTTTTTGCCAGATGTCCCAGAATTTATGAAAACAGCTGTAATTAGTAAAAGGGAAAGTCTTCGGACGCAAAAGTTACGTTGTTGATAGATCTACGGTTACTTTGTTGATAGGCCTAAATTATCCCCTAAATTGAGATGGCAATCTTGATGCATTTTTTGTAAAATATTTTTGAACTTTGAGCGAAGATATCTCAATAATTACTCGACCAAATTCGATAATTTTTTTTTTTTTTCTAATTCTATGAATATAGAAAATTCAAATAAAAAATTTTCATCGATTTTGATTGGGCGGTTGTTGAGATATCTTCGCTTAAAGTTAGTAAACAAATTCAAAACGCTTAAAAAAATAAAAAGCGCGCCAAATTTCTTCTAAAACTTTGAGTGAAGATATCTCGGCAACTACCTGATCAAATTCGATGAATTTTTTTTATTTTAATTCTATAAATACATGAAATTTGAATAAAAAATTTAATAGATTTTTGTCAGACAATTGATGAGATATCTTCACTCAAATTTTTAGAAAAAATTTGGCGCGAATTGATATTTTGAATTTGTTTACTAACTCTGAGCGAAGATATCTCAACAACCACCTGACCAATATCAACAAAATTTTTTTTATTTGAACTCCATATATTTGTATAATTAAAACAAAAAAAAATTTATCGAATTTGGTCAGGTAATTGCTGAGATATCTTTGCTCAAAGTTTTAGAAGAAATTTGGCATACTTTTTATTAAGTGTTTTGAATTTGTTTACTAACTTTGGGTGAATATATCTCAACAACCTTCTGACCAAAATTGATAAAAATTTTTTATTTGAATTTCATTAGTAGAATTAGAACAAATAAAAAATCATCAAATTTGGTTGAGTAATTATTAAGATATCTTTGCTCAAAGTTCAAAAATATTTTATAAAAAATACATCAAGAACACTATCTCAATTTAGGAGATAATTTAGACCTATTAATAAAATAATTATAGATTTATTAACAATATAATTTTTGTTCTTTAGACACTTACTATTCATGTGATTTTTGTACTTACCTAAGCACATAATTATACAATATTAATAACATTTTTAAAAATTTTAAATGAAGATATTTTAACAACTATCTAATAAAATTTGATGAAATTTTTTTTATTATAATTTCTGATATTTGTAGAATCTAAATAAAAAATTCAGTAAATTTCATCAGATGGTTGTTGAGATATTTTCAATTAAATTTGAGTAAAGTTATCAAATTGTAAGCTATTTTAAATTTTTTTTAAAATTTTAAACAAAAGATACCAACTATATGATGAAATTTGATAAAATTTTTTTTATATTAATTTACATATTTATATAATCTAAACAAAAAAATTTTTAGTAAATTTTATTAGGTAGTTGTTAAGATATCTTCAATCAATTTGGATCAATATTTAAAATGTCTAAAATTTGCTAGTTTTTTTTTATCTTTAAATAAAGTTATCTTAATAACTATTTAATAAAACTCAATTGGAATTTTTTTACCTAAATTCTATGAATATATATAATTAAAATAAAAAATTTTCATCAAATTTTATCTGATAGTTGTTGAGATATCTTTATTTATGATTTTAAAAAAGCTTAAAAGTAGTTTATATATTTTGAATATTAATCTAATTTTGATTAAAGATATCTCAACAACTACTTAATAAGATATACTAAAAATTTTTTATTTGTATTTTGTGAATATACAAAATAAAATTAAAAAACTTTATCAAATTTCATAATGTAGTTGTTGAAATATCTATTTAAAATTCTAAAAATTTGATATACCAAATTCATGTAAATATGTAGTTACATAATTTAAGTAAGTACAAAATTATATAAATTATAAGTATCTGAAGACTTTTTCTTAGTAAAATTGCCTTTTCAATATTCATAATTTTAATTAGTTGATTAACATAAAAGAGAACATCCATTAATATTGTAATACAATTATATGAGTATTTATTAATTATCTTTAATAAATTAATAAGTTAAAAACTATAATAAAATTATTTTGTCTTAAAGCTAAATTGTAACAAATAACTATTACTCAGTTTTATAATAAATAAAGATAAGTCAAAAGAAAAAAAAGTAAACTAAGATAAATATTCAGAATATTACATGTGAAGAATTTATCATAATTTAAATTAGATATAATTATTTTTTATTTTTTCTAAATCTTTATTAATATGTTCAGTATAACTTATAATTTATAAAAGTAATAAATTATTAATTATACAATTTTAACAATAATATTGAAGATAATTCTAAAAAATTTTATTTTTATTATTACTATATCTACTAAAAATATGAACTAAAAAATCAGATATTATTTTTGCTACCTACTATATATACATAGTCAATACTTAAATATACTATAATATATATAATAAATATAAAACTATTACAAGTACATATATATTATCAAAATTTTGTTATTTGCAAATCAAATTAAAACTATCTGATAAAACAAAATTAAATTGCATATCTTATTAAAATATTGTATAACCTATATAAGATATATATCTTGTTATTGTTCTTTTAGTTAATAATAGCCTGTATAGTAAGTTTGTTTAGGAATAAATCTCTTTTTTTCTGTGATAGTATTGATATAATTTAATTTTAATTATCTTTTTTTTAAGTTCTTCTTACTTGAACTAATAGTATCCTCTAATTTTTCAAAAATACTTTAATTTAAAAGACTAACATAGTTCTAGTTTTCTTTAGTCATTTTGTAATAATTAACTTAACTTATTTTTGCAAATAAAAAAAATAATTTTATTATATAAAATAGTAGCAAATATTTTCATATATACTTGAAGATCTACTAATTTTTTTCTTTTAATTCTACTCTAATAATTATCTGTATCTTATCTAAAACTTTTTTTTTGTGATATGATTATTATGCAAACTCTTGTTAGTTTTTATTTATATTGATAAAACATATAATTAATTTTTCAGTTACTAATTAATAGTAATAATACAAATGATTAATAAATACTACAACTAGTTACAATAATCGAACAGATTATAAACAAGCTATTAATTAGAATGTCTATATAGTCATAGTACTACTAGAACAGTTCGATCAGATATAAACAACTTTTGATAAATGCAATTAAAATTTCTATGATTATCAGCAGATTATTAGAATATTTAATTAGATTGTACATTATGCAAAACTTTCTAGTATTATACTATTAAGTTCTTATATTGCTATAAAAAAAATACTATTAGTTTATAATTTAATAAAAGAATTGGTTTGGCAATTTATCTTTAATAGAAATTATACAAAAAATAGATCTCTTCTAAGCTAGCTATTAATATTGATCAAACAGATTATAAACAGACTATCAAGCAAAATACTTGTATAGTTGTAAGTAAGTCAAACTAATAACTATACTAGTAATGTTTAAGTGTTGTTGATATTTTCATATTATTGATATTGCTCTAGTTTGTCTTTATTATTTTCTATTCATAACTAGTAAAATTCAATAATGACCTATTCTTTAAAATTTTTGATTTTAAAATATAACTAAATATTTATCAAAGTTTTTATTATATTTCTCTCTTTTGTTAATAAATAGATTATTTTCTATATTTTCTATTAGGCTTTCTATTTAAAATGAATAAAGTAAATAAAATGTAATATTTTGCATCATCTAAATTGATATTTTTTTAAAATTATGCTATGTAATATTATATTATTTGTTAGCCAGAATTATAATTTTCTGGTCAAATTTAAATTTTTCAGGCAAATGATCATCATTATACAATATGCACTTAATCAAATTTCATTCTGATAGGTTCTAAAAAAGATTCTCAAAAATAATATTTCAAAATAATAGTGAAATATGAACTTCAATCTTGAAGAAATGGATTATATATTAATTTATATAGATAACCCATTTCTTCATTGATTATCTACATAATAAAGCTAATTAAAATTGCATGAAATTTCATAAAATTAAAAAATCTCAGGATCTTGTAAAGATGCTAACATTTACTAGATAATATTTTAGGAAGTAAGGGTCTGTGAAAACACTTACCTCTATATATAATAATAGAAAATTATTATATTCTATCTATTTTTTCTTAAGTAGAAGTAGTGGTCTTTAGTAAAATTATATTAGGTCACAGCTCTAATTGGATTTTGATGATTTTGGGCTTATTTAATCATCTCATTGAAACTGACATTTTGGTAGTTAATTATCTTGAATAAATTAGTAAATCAAAAGTTATTTGGCAATTTCATAAATTAGCTCATATGTTTATAATGCGATATTCGATAAATATGATTAATTGTGATCTAATGTTTTCGAAAGGTCCTCTAAAAACCAGAGCTAAGCCGTTTATAAGCTAAGCCAAGCTAAACTACTATTCAAAAGAAAAGGTTTTAGGTAAAATCAACTAGACAAAATTGAGGGTAATAGTCAAGTAATATGGATTTCAACTCGCGGCTTTATGTTCAGATTCAAGAACTAGAGCTGAGCCACTTTTAGAACTGATACTTCATTAATAGGCCTGTAGCCGAGCAGTTAATCAGCTCGGCTTAGCCGTTTGGCTCACGGTTCGGCTCAAGCCGTTTGCATCACTATCAGAGACTCATGAAAATTTTTTGTAACTCTGGTAATATAGATACTCTCAAAAAATAAAGAAATTGTCCGATATATCCAGATGTCGGCTTAACCAGAGGAATTTTTATATTAAGTATATAGGTTTTAATTTTAAAAAAATGTCGTTATAACCAGCTGTCAGTTTATATATAACCAGAGTTATTAAAATTTGCAATATAAATTTTATTCATATATCTTTTGTGTATTACTCTTCTATATATTCTCACCTAACTTGCTCGTCTTTTATGCTATCTACCTTTCTGGAAATTTTTGCTATGATAGCAAAATTTTACTTTCTCGGCTCGATTTATACTCTTAATTTTGCCCGAATTTAGGTTTTATAAGTAGTGATCCGGCCGATTAAAATTTTTCGACCGGCTAAGCCGATAAAATTTTATCGCCTTAGCCGGCTTAGTCAACTTTTTATTAAAATTTCGGAATCCTTTGGAAGATTAAGTTCGTTCATTTTCTACATCGGAACTTTTATAATCCTATTAATAAAATCGATCAGCCGATTTTTTCACTATCGGCCAGGATCACTACTTATATAAATTTGTATAATTATATTGATTTTTTTATGAGAGATTAGATTAATGACAACCAAAATTCAGCAGATCGATCAAAATTCCAGGTTGGAATTCATCGGAGCTAGGTCAGTATTACATCTGTTTTCATTCTAACTGTGACGTAATATTAATTCTAGTAAACCATAACTAGTGTTCCGTACGGATCGAATCGGACGAATATTTTTAAGTATCCGGATCTGATCTGAAAAATCATTTCAGGTCAAAGTATATGACCCGAAACCGTAAAGATCCATATGATCTAAAGTTAAACACATATAACGGTTCGGTAGATTCGAAACTGCAGGTTCTCATAAAATCATGGATCCGGATCCGATTCATTGTCAGCTCCGAATCGAATTAGAGATGATGATCGATCACACTGTGACAATTACTTAACTTCATTTGACCGCTAAATTTTTTATTGCTATTTTATATTATAACAAAAATAGAATGGATTAACCATTAAATTTAATTCAGAACACTGTCTTAGTCTAGGAATATGAAAAAAATGACCGGGCATGAACGATCAATCATATAAAAATCAAAAAAATTTTGATCGATCGATCACTATCTCTAAATCGAATCCCGAGTCTTTTGCGGAACACCAGCCATATTATAGAAAATTATCATCTAGGCAACTTTACTTAATGAGTGGGTCATGAATTTAGCAATATCAACCCATTCCGATGTGTATTAACCCGGAATTTTGGTCGATCTGCTGAATTTGGTTGCATCCGACGCAATAATGAATAGGAGGCACAACATATCAGTTTTTTTTTTTTTTAGAAAAAAATAAATAAAAACGATATAATATTTATATTATAAATCTTTATTAAATGGTAAAATGATTTGAATAATTCAAGCCAAAATTGCGGTATCAAATCGCAACAGGTTCATTCATTATCTTTAAATATTTAAACTAAATCTATATAAACTCCCAACTCTCACAATCTTGACAATCATATTCAACTTCACACGTTGCAATATCCTCCTTCCCCTCCGTAATCCTGGGCCATTCATTAATGACCTGATTCATAAATGGTAACATAGCATGATTTACAATCGTGCGTTTCCAGCCGAGTTTAGCACGAGTATCGTATGTACATGTTTTACCTACATGACATCTTGTTTCCATCTATTTATATTTATGTAAACATTTTAAAATGATAATGTTTTAAAAATAAATATAACACATAAAATTTTTAAACTTACAGCGAATCCGCTAAGATAGCATGTTGAGGCTTTACCATTACAGGTACCACTGTATACCGGATCCGCAGTATGGCCAAAATGGTAAATCTGCAATTTATCCAAATAATTGTTTAAATCGGAGTCAGGGATATTAAGAAGCCCAATTCGTTTTGCGTAAAGGAGTTCACCGGGAGTTTGGAATAATACTGCCGGTAGGTTGTAAGTTAGTGCAATCAATGAAGCTATTGAACCACCTGTTGAAGAAAACAAAAAAGCAGTTAACATATAAATAATTAAGGTTACGAGTTGAAAAGTGAAAATGTGAACGGAACCTAATGAATGTCCTGTAAGCCAAATTTTTGAATTTGGATAATCGATTTTTGCTTGGTTATAAATTTCCTGAATAGAATAATATAGTATATCATAATCACATTCTGAATTAAAAGTTTCAAATAAATTTTAATCAACTTACCAATGCAACATTATAATAACTATCCTTAATATCACATTCATTTCGAATACAGGCATCATTACATTTCATCCCTCCCATATGACACCCACATATGCCTCTCCAAGTGAAATCAACTTTTGCACAACAACAGGAGAACATAAGGTTATCCTAAATTTTTAGGAAAATCTTTTAAAATAAATATATTTGATAATTTCACGAGGTTTTATATTTTATAGACTTACATTAAGCTTATCCTTGTGAGCGGTTGGACCACCACCATTAACAAGATATAAACTAGTTCCTTTAAATGCTATTATAATTGTAGAATTATCAGGATCTGCAAATATGTAACCTCGCAAACCTACATCTTCCCAACCAAATGGTAGTTTCTATATAATGATTAACGATGATTAACATATGCAGTTATTAGCATATATACTAAGAAATTGAAAAGCAAATTTCCTATTAAAAATAAAAAAAATATATATAGTTCACCTCCCAATCCTCATCTAAATCAATCCATTCAGCTTCTTTTGATAATTCAATATATGCATCATAACTCATTTTAGCTAAACTTAATATTGATTCTCTATCTTTATAATTTGGAATTTTATTTTGAACGGTTTGTACACCGATCGAATAGCCTAAAATATTTGGGTTATCTATATAATTAACTACATGATAACTATCACCTAAACTAGCACTAAAAGAAAATTGGGTAAATATAGATTGTTGATTTTGTGGGTTGATTTCAAGCTTTCTAAAAAGGTTCTTAGTTAAAGTTGAAGTTCCACCATGATGTAATATTTGTTTTAGAGTAAAGTATTTATTATTAGAATTACTACTTTTCTCGCTAAAAGAAAAAGGAATTTGTTGAGAATATGCAGACGAACGAAACACTATTACAGTTATTAGGAAGAGAAAAGTACTAATAAATATTGGATAACCTCTAAACATTTTTTAACGAGTACTTATATGAAAGCTGTAAAAAACGAACCAAGTAAAGCAACCGGGGAACTCTTCCGTTTACAAAATACAATTCTGGCAATAAAACGGTCGTTTCAGAAATATTGCTTCTGTCACACAGCAAGGTTCACATGATTCTCCTTTACCATAATTATTTATATTTGGATAACGATAAATGTAGTCAGGAAATTTACTAAAATAGAAGTCGTTCTAAATGTAGAATGACATATTTCACAATATTCGAAATTAAAGTTATACTGTATATATAAGGTAAAGTGCAGATTTTTGTTGTTAAACTAGAAAACGGTATGCTGGAGCCTTAATTATTAGGTCATATTTTAGAAATAAATTTAAATTTCAATTATGAAAAGATTACATTTATAATAAATTTAAAGTCGTTCCTTCATTAATTAATCTTTGTTGTAAAAGCTAATTTTTGTAAACCCATCAAAGAAAATGCAATATCAAAAAAGTAGATCATTAAGAGTAAGAATCTGTTGAAATTCCTTATTTCCAAGATTTATTACAGCCTGCAGTAATGTCAAATCCTGTTACTTATGAATTGTAATTGCCCAGGCAAGACATCAAGGAAACTGCATGCGATAGCAAGTTTCTGATTTTCCCTCACAAGTGTATTTAATAGGTCGAATTGGTACTACTTTATGATTCAAAATTACTGTAGGTAGTGAGGATGGAGTCCTTCCTAGTTTAATTTGTATGTTTGTGCTCTCCTTCTCTCTAATATTAGTCATTTGTCGATAATTAACGTTTTTTGTGATTCATTTTTTTTAATAAGTTAACAGCCAAATTTTTGTAAGCCCAAATTTGTGAAAATTCAATCAAATCTCAATATTAAACAGTCATATAAAACTCACATAATAACCTATCACGAAACTT